AGTCGAACCTCGTGATCCACTACCTGTCAGACCTCGTGAGACGACTGCCCCCCCCCCCTCGCCTCAATCCCACCTTGTTTCCAAATCCGCTTTTGGTAGAGTCAGCTTCTGAAACGGAACTCGAATTGACAAAGGGACAAATAGTCGACTCAACACATCTCCCCGAGTCGATTTTCTCTCGGGTTGCTCGCGACGCCTGGCTCCGCTGATGTCCTCCTGCCCCCGTCTCTCCATCCTCACTCCTCGTCCTCCCCTTCACCTCCCCGTTGCACTCCCCTTTCTCTCTGCTCCGCGGATGAACCGCAGACGCGTGTCGCGCCGAGTCCGTTGACGGATGCCGACTCGGCACCCGGGCCGCGTGCAATCTCCCATCGCGACTCCGCGTGTCGATAGCAGCAGCAGCAGCCGCCTTCGATGCAGTCTTGACGACTCAATGCACGCGCAGAAATCTGCGGCTCCGAGCGAGAATATAAAGATCTCTTCCCAGTTACGTGTGCCAACGTCGAGCCAACGACGGGTTAACGTGTTTCCCCCCCCCCCCCCCGTGCCGACGCTAGGGTCAACTTTGTGTACATCCCAAAGTGTGGGCCAACGTTGGGTTCACGTTTTTTACGTTCCAACGTCGAGCCAACGTTGGGTTAACGTATTCATTACAACGTTGCGCCAACGTTGGGTCAACGTTGTATACATTCCAACGTTGGGCCAACGTTGGGTCAACGATTCCAACCACATGCGAATGTTGGTCCAACGTTGCCATGTGGGTGGAACCGTTAGACCAACGTTGGTCCAACCTTCCATATTGACTGGTTTGGGACACTTCCCCGTTCCTTGGGGGAGGTTGAAGGAAACGGTGGAAGTGGCGACCCCACTATTTTCGTTACAATTTTTTTAGATATTCTCCAAACTGTTATCGCGTCCCCATTGTTCTATCGGCGTCGCGAGACGAAGAATCCATTCGGAAATCTCGCCGTTGACCAGCGCAGCAAGCCATTCGCGTTCGAGAACGCCCCACGGAAGTGGATACTGCAGAACTGCCTCTGAGATCCCACCCAAGTGACTTCTAGGACAAAAGGTAGAGAGCAGCACTTCTCACTCGCCCTGCACACGAGAGTAATAATGTTCGTCTCGCGACGTTCAAATCGATCGTTTTTATTCGTAGAGCCGAGATTTCGCCACATTAAGTGCGGAACAAACATAAAAGGAATTATTAGAGTTGCCATGTGTCCGGATTTGACCCGATATAAGTTCGGTGGCAGGGATCGAATTGTACGGAACATCTGGTGGCATCTAGATGAACTTTATTAAAGTTACTGCACATGTTTTATGATCGACCTCGTGCTGACTGAGAAATATGTTCGCGTTTTGGCTACAGTCTCTAGACGGTTGGTAATTATCGCAGCCATTGGTGACCGGGCTGAGACCATCAGCTCGCTGTACTGGAGAACCCAGTTCAAATCGCAGGCGATAGCTGCCTGGATTCGAACCCAGGTTGTCTGGGGAGCCTGCTCAGCGAATGTGACCTCCACGCCACCGGGCTGCCTAATTCCCCGCCACTCTTTATTGCGTTGCCTGAAAGAAGCCTTTGTAGCCAGGCCGCCCCCCCCACGCCACCGTTGGCAGTCGCCATGGTGACGCGCGCGTGTCCATGGAGACGGCGCGGGGGCCGTTTAACAAATAAAATGGCAGCGGTAGCCATGGCAATGCTGGGGCCGTTTAAAAAAAATGGCAGCGGTCGCCATGGCGACGCGCGCGTTTCCATGGAGATGGCGCGGCGGCCGTTTTTTGTTTAAAAATGGCAGCGATCACCATGGCGACGCGAGGCCGTTAAAGAGTGAAATGTAAACGCCATCTTCATTAACACTTGCTTTCTGCGCGTGGCCCTCCCGCCAGGCCAGGCTTCAGCCACGTTGCTTGCACAGCTGTGAGGCCTTAGTGGACGATTATTCACGCAGCGGCACAGACAGGGGCCATTGGCAGCCTCGGGATCACGGTGAGGGTCAAGTAGTTGAGGGGATAGCCTCTTGCCACCTCTTCCAGTGTAGAACCAAACCCAGACGTGTGTATGTATGTTTAACTTCTTTCGTTTTGTACGTAGCTAACCGTGCTAATCGAAGGTGCGGGGAAGGACAACAATCTAAAGGCAAAAAGTGGTTCTGAAGAAATGAGCTTTCAATTGATATTTTTAAAGTGCATGGCTCCAGTGGCGTACTAATATCGGAAGGAAGAGCGTTCCAGACGGCCGCAGAGGCGCACCTGAAAGCGCGCGATGCGGTGACCACCGTCGTTGTTCGACGGCTGATCCAAAAGCCGCTGCGACGATGACCGGAGTTCGCTTGACGGTGTCTGCTCCTTGACGAGATCAGCAAGGTATTGTGGTTCATTTGTGGAAGAACTTTGTGCGTGTAATGAGCGCGACCCTTATAGTGTATTCGTTCGGGCAACCGAAAGCCAATGCAGCTCGGCCGGCACTGGGCGGACATGGTCGGATATTGCAGTGCCCGTCACGGACGTTGAATCTCGATCAACACGAGGTCGATCATGAAACCCTCGCAGTCGTCTACCGCCGTGAAGTTCAACGCAGCAGCAGCAGCAACAGCAGCAGCGACGACGCTTTTGGGGCAAGCAACGCCGCTGCCAGGCCTGGGTATACAAATCGATGCCTGCTGCCACCAAAACGCAGACGCCAGTTGCTGGACTCTCCAGATCAAACCCGGACAGGTGGTTACTCTCATTTAGAATCACCACTGATTTATGCTGATGGAGTTTTGGATCACCGTGGATGTACGATCATTGATTTTGGATCATGCATCTGTAGCAGTGTTCTTCATTGCAAAGGCCCAAGGGCTACTAGTGGCTTTTAGTGCGGGCCCCTGACGTACGGCCCCCGACAATCCACAAATAATGAAGACAACCCCTTGCAGGCGGTGTGGCGGCCCTCACGCTGATGATGTCTTATCGGCGAAAGTGGCCCCCCTCTGAATTGTATGGAATAACACTGATTTATAGGATCGTAGTGGATGTAGGATCATTGATGTGGGGTCATTGATTTCAGATCACTGGGTGGAGTTCCATGGATTAAGACCATTGGTATGGGTTCATGGATTTAGGGTGAGATTGGAGGTAGGATAATAGATTTAGGATCCTGAATTTTGAATCGCCATGGATGTAAGATAATTGATGGAGGATTCTGCATTTAGAATCATGGATTTGAAAACACTCTGTGTATAGAATCATGAATTTATGACCACGAAGAGATCGTAATTTTGACAGCGCTGATGTAGGATCAACTATAGTTTTTGAATTTGCTGAATTTAATATTAGCGTGGGGGCTCAAAAAATGGGGGGACGGTGGGGGGATAGCCTCCATTGCCCCCTCCATCCCTCCCGCTTGGACCCTCCACTGATATTACACCACCTCCATGTTACAACACCTCACGAGGAGGCTTTCATCCACAGCTGCGGATTTCGACAGTTATAATTGTGTAATTGTTCTACTGGCAATTGTTAACCCAGGCCAAACCCAGACACACCTCAGGCCCCACCCAGTAGACGGAGAGCTTTAGTTCAGCCAGGGTAGCTAGCGGGGCGAGGGGAGGCGGGGGGGGGGGGGGAAAGAGTGGTGGGGGAGCTGTGGAAGGTGGTGGGGGGGGGGGCTGCCCAAGGGGGCCTCGTGTCTGGCGTGGCTCCACCTCGTGACGCGGCGTGGCCCTCTAAGCGCCGCGCCTGCGCCTGCCAACGAGACTCAGCGCCGCGAGTCTGTGGTCTCCGTGCGGGCTCGGGGCACGCGACCACACACACCTGGGCTGCTCCCCGTGATGCCACACCTGGGGATCAACACGACAGCCCACACACACACACTCGCTCACCTTACTCACCCTCTCTACACACCACACACCATCACTCACCTTCCCTCCGCACCCCACACATCACACACACACACACATGATCAACTCACAACTTCATGGACACTTCGCATGATAAAGACAAAGATCCCCCAATATTGCCTTAACTGACTTTTGGGGCAAGTTCTGTTGACGAGCGCCTATGAAGGCCGACGCGGCACAAGGGGTGGGGGGGAAACTTCACGCCCGTCCACCTTTGTCTCCCTAGTGGCGATGATTACACCGTACCAGGTACTCATTTGAGGCCGCGTTGACCTACTGGAGGCACAGGACCGATCCAGATAATCGTCACCGTTGTTGGCCGTGAGCAGGAATCCAACTGGTGTCTCCGAGTTCGCAACGCGGGGCGCTAACCGCTGCGCCACCGCTCACCACATTGCACCGTGAATAGAGTGCAGCTGTAAAGGTTAGCATGCCGGGAAAAAAACCGTTGCAAATGTTTTTATTTTTAAATCCCAAATTTGACACAGATGTACTTTTAATAAATACTTTTCATTAGGGAATGGCATATACTCTATCCTAATAACGTAACGGGATCTGTAACGTCTGCTGTGAAGCAGACGGTGCGTAGCACTGACGTTTCATGATACACACGCCGCGGCATTCACTCGGGCGGCCGCTCGGACTCGAACCGCGAGCCTCTGCAACAAGGAGCAGGGAAGAAACGCGCTGGCGCTCGACCGTGACACTGCGCGCCAGAGTCACTCACGGTCATCGGTGCCATGGAAACTTCGCGCGCGTTACAGATCGCATTATTATTATAACAGTTAGATGTGCACTGCATTTATTCGTGAAAAGGGCCTCCCAGAGGTACCTACAGAGGCCCTGGGCATAATGCCACGTGGCGGGCCCCATTATTTCACGTGGCGGGCCCCATAATGTCACAAGGTGGGCCCCATAGTGCCACGTAGTGGGCCCCATTATGCCACGTGGCGGGCCCCGTATTTATTAGCAACAACAACAACACCCCAGGACGGTAGTTGTGGAGTCCTCTTTTGTGCGAGATCCAGAAAATGTTTCATGTTTCCCTCCCACCCCCCCCACCCCCATCTACTCCCCCCTCTCCCGCCTACCCCCCTCCCTCCCTCCGCATGGAAGATCCAGCTTGCGATCAGAGGACATCTCTGTCGTGCGCGGGCTCCACGTCTCCGTCTCTCACCACGAGACCGAGCCCTCAAGTCTCAGGCGTCATCGCCGAACTGCAATCGTGCTCGTCCGGTCGTTGTCGGGTCACCGTCCGTGCTGCGTTGCCAGCGTCGAGTTTCCACAAACCCGTCCACGCAACGCGCTGTGCGACCTGGGCCATTCCACACACGGGTGGGTGGGTGGGGGGGGGGTCCCTCCGTTAACTCGCCGATCTGACGTTGTCATCATCATCATCATCGTCCCCCACCACCCAGAATCATTGTCAAAGTCCTTTCTGTTCTCTCCTCTCTCTGTTGTCTCCTGCTCATCTCTCCCTCCACTCATTCCTGACAAAGGGGGGGGGGGGGGGGGTGGGGGGGGAGGGCCTGAGTTGGGAATCGAACCCAGGTAGTTTTTTAGTTTTGCTGTGAGGCCTACGAGTGTGCCACTGCGTAGTCACCATGCCGCCATGGCAGTGGTCCGCATGTGCTTGGTGTACGGCGGTGTATCACGAACCGGCAACTTTACAGAACAACGCCGAATATAAACCGGGCACTCAGTGGCGAATCTTGAAACTTCACAAGAGGTGGGGGGGGGGGGGGAGGTGGGGGGGGAGGTGGGGGCGCTGCTATGAAAGTTTAGGGTTTTTGAATCGTACCCCACACTAATCAAACACACATTCGGTGTACATTCTCTGGTAAACATCAATAATATACCGATATCCAGGGTCACAAGGGGGAAGCGGAGAGGGGGGGTGGGGAGTAGTTGGTGATAGACCCCATAGCCCCCACGACCTCCCCCCTCCGCCCGGATCCAGCAATGGACTCAACTCGCTGCACCAGAGAGACCCGACTCAGTTGCGACTCGACAAGGCTTGACTCCAATCATCATGATTCATCTCATTACACACGCGTTACATGAAACCGGCTCAACCCATATTCGTTGTCATGAAACTTCCATTGCCAATAACATCTGGTAATGGCTAACGCCCCCATGCCTCTCCCCCACCTCCCCCCAGCCGAGTCCCCTTTGGGTGGACCACTGCGGCCCTCTTCCAGAACGGTTCCTGTTCCTCGTCTGCGATGTCTCCGCAGAGGAGAGACTGCAGTGAACTCATGGATGGGCCGAAGCCCATCCTGACTTCTGAAGTCGCATTCCGACACTCCGTGCTGTACAAGGTGCTCTACTCTCATCCCCAGTTGATGGGTCAGTCGATCAGTCAACTGGGTATGCGTCTGACACTAATTCGGTTCTATGCCTTGGAGACTTAGGAATTGGACGTATTCGTCCCGGTGAGCCAGGCTGAGCCGCACGACTCAGCCTGGGTGCTGCTGCCGCTACAATGGGGGTTTTGTTGTTGTCGTTATTTGCAAAATGTTTTCCGCCAATTAATGAGTCGTGTTAATTATTCACGTGGGAGGAAAACGGAGCACCCCGAGAAAAACCCACGCAATGCGCGAGGGGGCAACACCCTATCCCCGTACAGATGTAATAAACAAATGGCGATTAGTCCACACTTTGTACACTTTTCTGTACCGCCTTCTGCTGGCAGAGCGAGTGTGTGTGATTTACCAAACTCCACGGTTGTGGGTTACAGCGGCTCCAGCATGCACCCTGTATTTATATCCACTGTTGGGGACTTCCTGAATGGCTGTCTACTCTTCAAGCTGTTGTCGCTGTTGCTGTTGGATTTTCATTTTAAAATTGTTTCGCTGTAATATTCGTTGCCTCTTTTTCGAGGGAAAGTTCACCCGGACCCTACCTCGGGTGGCGAGATGTCTGCCGTGGCGCCGTGGTGGCTATGAGATGTTAACTACATCGCCTGGTATGCGGGAGGTCGTGGGTTCGATCCTGACCCTGACGCCTGCTGCTGTATATTTGGAGTTTGCGTGTCTCTCATCATCATCACGGTGGCTATGAGATGTTAACTACCTCGCCTGGTATGCAGGAGGTTCGTGGGTTCGATCCCGACCCTGACGCCTGCTGCTGTATATTTGGAGTTTGCGTGTCTCTCATCATCATCACGGTGGCTATGAGATGTTAACTACCTCGCCTGGTATGCAGGAGGTCGTGGGTTCGATCCCGACCCTGACGCCTGCTGCTGTATATTTGGGGCTTGCATGTCTCTCAGTCTCTCCGTGGTCGCGTGGATTTTTCTCCGGGTCCTCCGATTTCCCCCTCCACATTTAGAATCAACATCACACGCGTTGACAATATTTGTCTGCTGTACATCTCCACACGAGAAGCCACTTCGCTGAGCGATCATTCGCGATAGGCACAGGTCGCTCCTTAAAAAAAGAGCTATAGCTCAGTGGGCCTTACCTGGCGAGATAAACTAAAAAGTTTAGTTTAGGGTGAACAAGAGTTCAGGCAAATTAAAAGCAATAGGCCGATTTCCGAGCCTGATTAAAAAAAAATAAGAAATCCACCAACTACGGACTCGGGAGCCGCCCGAGGAGTGAACGCGACGCGGTTTTGGCCACGGCTTGATCCCGTGCATACCACTAGTGATGTTCCCCAGTCAGAAATCAGAATGGTTAGAATATTGATTTACTGCAGAAGGAATCCGATGAGCTATAAAAGTGATTGTTTCTCTTCACAGATGTCCAGTAGGAGTAAGGTCAGAGCGTTACAACAACAAATACAAAAAGGCCACGATTGGAGTACAAGGTAAACGAATCGCTCAAAAAATATCTACAAATAAAACTAAACTGCTTTTTTTTTCCATGTTAGTCACCGGTGCCCTCCCATGCAAAACGTTCGGCCAGTGTGGAACAAAAGACCAATTACACCCTAGAGGTGGGGGGGGGGGTGCTCTAAGGAGTTCCCTCTATTTGAAAACCACAAACACACTCGCCAATAACCATTGTGGCCTTGAAATAAAAAAATATATATTTAAAAATCGGCGACGTTTCGGGTAATGGCACCTGCTCAGCGGGCTCTGCCACAACTTCAGCACCATCACTCGCGGACCCAGGGTGGAGCGGGCAGGTTGCCGAGGGGCGGGTGGAGCGGCCGCCCAGGGATTGTTGGGTGGGTAGGGAGGGGGGGGGGCGTGTGAACGTATGTATGTTGAACTTATTTCGCACCGTACGTAGTGAACCGCGCTAATCGGAGGTGCGAGTGCCAAAGATGGAAAGTTGATGTCGAAATGTCGAGCAATGCGAAGAAAGAAGCAGATTGTTTGTGACGTACAGTGTGGTGAGTGACTGGGTGAGTGAGTGGGTTGAGTGGGTGGGTGAGTTGGTGAGTAAATGCACACCTGTCCACCTATACAATTTACCCCGCATTCTTGTACAGGGAATTTTGTTTTCAAGTACATACGGCGTACAGCCGTTTCAATACGGGCAATTTTTTTTTCGTCTATTTGTGTTTTTCTCCATTGTGATGGGACTTTGTAGGATGGACGTTGAAATTTCTAAGGGCACGGGGTGACCAATAAGGTCTGAATTGGTCTGTAATAAGGTAGGGCACCGATAAGGGGTTGACAGGTTTGTGAATGGGTGAGTGAATGGGTGAGTGATTGGGTGGGTGAGCAGGTGAGTGTGTTACGAACTGCAGCATGGTGGTTGAACGTGTGAGCGAGTGGGTGAATGGGTGAGTGAGTAGGTTAGTGAGTGAGTGTGTAGTTGTGATCGGCAGTGTCGGTGGTGGTTGAACACACTGTGAACGAGACGCAACAGTCAGTCTCGTAAACTGAGTAATGCACACGGTTTCCACCTGAAGACGGAAGCGTGTGTTGTTTTCATTTATTTTATTTTACCTACGTGACTTTACCGAAAAAAAAAACAAAGAGTATGAATCCTTGCAAGTCACGAAAGCTTCAAATCTAGAAATAATGCACATGTGTGGAGGTGATATTGTTCATCTAAGGCATGAGGGGAAGGGAACCTACAGCCCGCGAGTCATATGCGGCTCACGACTTCATGTCAGATGACCCTCAACCACCTTACCACTTTAAAACGTCCCGAAAACAATATTTATAATCTGTTAAATACAGCTTTTGTGGAACAGTGATGGCCAGGGAACGTCGCTAGAAGCGATGATGGTTCCCAAGCTATCACGATAACAAATACCGAACGGGCCGATGGACACACACACACACACCGGACGGACGTGGAAATACGGCCAACCCAAAAAGTGACACGAGAGCTGTGCCGTGATATCCAGTGTCCTATTACTCAAATAATTACCGTGCCATTTTACCCAAATTCTATCTCCGATTGTGTTCTCCGCGTCGCGCCATTCGCCTCTCTCGCGCAGAGCTGGGCATCCATTCCGTGGTAGATAACGGCCCACGGAATTGGATATGATAGAGCTACCTCCCGAGGACCTTTCAAGTGACTCCTCCCCCCTCCTGGTCCAGACGGTAGAGAGCAGCAACTTCCCCACTAGGCTCTGCCAATGACGGTGAGGTTCGTCGCATCCGCAAGTCAGCGTGACGTTTTAATTGTCGCGGCTGGAATTTTTGCCAAATTAACATAGGACTCGGATTGAATTGGCTTGTGTTGTTGTTGTTGTAGTTCAAGCATTGGCGACCGGGCTGAGGCCATCAACTCAACCGCCACAGTTGTCAGAGACCCGGTGTTTAAAATCACAAGCGGTGGCCGAAACGTGGATTCGAACGCAAGGTTCTCAACGACGCCGGCTCAGCGACTCTGACCCCTTAGTCACCCCCCCACCCACCCACCCCCCTCGCCTTGCCTCATCCCTGATTGAGTTTCTTCTTAAAGTCGGCCAGCAGGAAATAACCTCTGTGGCATCGCCTGTTGTCTTTGACAGGCGCCCCTCCATCGCCACTTCCCATCCTGAGTGACGCCCTCCGCGCGACGCTGAGAAATGTTACGCTGCGCATCCCCCCCCTCCCCCCCCCCACGCCTATCCTGTGGAATGAACCGTTTATCTCGTCGACGACATCGCCACCAAAAAAATAATAATTTGTCTGCCTCGATCACATGCCGAGCGAACGTTCTGCCCTGTGCAGCTGTGCCCGCCGCACGCCCTGGCTCCACGGTGGAGACACTGGCTCCATGCTGGAGGGACTGGTTTCCATGGTAAATAAACTGGCTCCACGGAGGAGAAACTGGCTCCATGGTGGGGACACTGGTTTCCACGGTGGAGACACTGGCTCCACCGTGGAGACACTGGTTCCACGGTGGACAGACTGGCTCCACCGTGGAGACACTAGTTCCACGGTGGAGACACTGGCTCCATGTTGGAGAAACTGGCCCCACAGTGGAGATACTGGCTCCACGTTGGAGACACTGGTTTCCACAGTGGAGAAACTGACTCTACAGTGGAGATACTGGCTCCACGGTGGAGACACTGATTTCTACCGTGGAGAAACTGGCTCCACAATGGAGAAACTGGCCCCACAGTGGAGATACTGGCTCCACGTTGGAGACACTGGTTTCCACAGTGGAGAAATTGGCTCCACAGTGGAGATACTGGCTCCACGTTGGAGAAACTGGCTCCACAGTGGAGACACTGGCCCCACAGTGGAGACACTGGCTCCACGGTGGAGTAAAACAAATAAAAATATATATATGAAAAGGTAAAGGCGCAGCCCTGCAGGTTGCCTGCTCCACTGCTGGCACCACTAATGGAGCAAGAGAGTGAGAGGTGGAAAGGGGGATGAGGGAGAGGGTGGGGACGTGGGGGGCTGTTGGGACCACTGCGGTGGTCGGGGCGGGTAAAATGCTTTGAAGATTCCCGGCCCCAGGTGCGCGGGACTTCCTGCAGCGCCGCGATTCCATCCCCGCTCTCGGCTTCGCATCTGCCAGTGTGGCTTGGGCTCCCACTTGGTCGTCTCGACACGAAACCATCACGGGTGTGCTTGTTTGCCGGCTGCGTGCCGCGCGCGATGCACGCGCCCGGCTGTCACGTGGGTCGCGCGCGCCGCCTCCACATCCACCTGGTGGGGGGGCGGGGGTGGAGGGGTTGGGGGGGGGGTGGGGGGCGGGGGGGGGATCAGAGCGGCCCTACGGGTGAAATGGTGCAGGTGTGCGTGACGCGGTCACGTGTAAGAGAGACGGAGTGTGTCAGGGAGTGTTTGTGTGTGCGCGCGTGTGCGTGTGTGTGTGTGACGACTCAGCCTCAAATTAATACCTGGTGCGGTAGGTAAACATCGCCACTGGGGAGACAAAGGCGGTCGGGTGTGGTCCTTGGCCACCCGCCACCTCGTCTGCCGTGCCAACCTTCATAAATGCTACTCGCTAACGGCACTTGCCCCAACAGTGTGTAACAGGCTATACGGGGGATCTTTGTCTTTGTTTTATTTTGTAAGTGGGGAGCGGTAGTGTAGCGGTTAGCGCGCTGCGCTGCGAACCTGGCGATCCGAGTTCGATCCTCGCTCACGGCGAACATGAGTGACGATTATCTGAACCGGTCCCCGCCCCCTAGGTTGACTCAGCCTTAAATGATTACCTGCTGCGGTGCGTAAAAAAAATCGCCACTAGGGAGACAAAGGCGGCCGGGCGTGGTGCTAGCCACCCACCTCCTCGAGTGCCGTTCTGGCCTTCATAGGTGCTCGCTAACAGCACTTGCCTCAACAGTTTACGGCTATACGGGGGGACTTTGTCTTGTAGGGGTGTGTAAGGGTGCGAGTGGTATCATCGGGAGCGGTGGCGCAGTGGTTTATGCGCTGCGACCCGAGTATGATTCCCCCCTTACAGCCAACGTCAGTGACGGATACCTGAACCGGTTCTAGGCCTCCCCTAAGTCGACTCAGCCTTAAATTAATATCTGTCTCGGCGTGTAAGCATCAGCATTGGGGAGACAAAGGCGACCGGGCGTGGTGTTGGCCGCCTCGTATGCCGTGCCGGTCTTCATAGGAGCTCGCGAACAGCACTTGTCCCCAACAGTCTGTTAGAAGGGCTACACGGGGAATCTCTTTCTTTGTTGGGTAGAGTGTGTGAATGATGGCGTGTGTGTGTTTGCACACAAAGCCCTATATACACACAGCCCCCCCCACACAGGTGCGTGTGTGTGTGTATGGGCATGTGTGCTCCTGCACAGGGATGTTGAGAAACGCGTGCGTGTTTATACCTACGCGGGTGTGTGCGTGTGTGCTGGAGTGTACGCAACACGTGTGCGTGCGTGTGTGCGTGTGTGTTTTATTGGTGTTTGTATAAGTGTGTGGGGGGGGAGGGTAGCGGTAGTGTAGCGGTTAGCGCGCTGCGCTACCAACCTGGCGACCCGAGTTCGATTCCCGCTCACCGCCAATATCAGTGACGATTGTCTCTGTACTGGTCATAGCCCCTCCCCCTAAGTGAGTACCTGGTGTGGTGTGTAAACATCACCACTGGGGAGACAAAGGCGGCCGGGCGTGGTGTTGGCCACCCCACTACCTCGTGTGTGTCGTGTCAGCCTTCATAGGTGCTCGCTAACAGCACTTGCCGCAACAGTCAGTTCAGGCTACACGGGGGATCTAATGGGGGGAGCGGTGGTGGAGCGGTTAGCGCGCTGCGCGACGAACCCGGCCACCCGAGTTCTATTCCCGTTCACGACCAACATCAGTGATGATTATCTGAACCGGTACTGGCCTCCCCTAGGTCGGCTCAGCCTCAAATGAGTACCTGGTGCGGTGTGAATGCATCGCCACTCGGAAGACAAAGGCGGTCGGGCGTGGTTCCGGCCACCCACCGCGGGGTCGTGGGTAGTTCCAACCTTCATTGGTGCTTCCAGCTCACAGCACTTGCCCCAAAAGTAGGTTACAGGCTATATGGGGGATCTTTGTCTGTGTGAGAGTGTGCTTGTGCGCGCACACGCCACGTGTTCGCGTGTCGCCGTTCATGTCCCAGCTCGTCCTCGCTTGAGCGTTGCTTTTGCAATCCCTCCTGCACCCCCATGGGGGTTTGAGTCTCCTACTCCTCCATGCAGCCACCGCCAACTAGAATATCTCGCTCGTGGTGAGAGCGTGCGCGCTGTGTGTGCGTCTGTAAGAAATCACTGGGTTCCTCAAAGACAAAGTAGCAGATTGTTGGCAAAAGCGCTGTCAGCGAGCACCTACGAAGGCCGGCCGCCTTTGTCTCCCGAGTGGCGATGTTTACACACCGCGCGAGTTACTCGTGTGAGTCGACCGAGGGGAGGGCCAGGACCGATTCAGATAATCGTCACTGGTGTGAGCCGTGAGCAGCAATCGAACTCGGATTGCCGGGGTTCGTGGAGTAACGCGCTAACCGCTGCGCCACCGCTCCCCGACCCACAAAGACACACACGCGTACGCACACGCACACGTGGAACACACACACGGAACACGTGTGCACACGTACGTGGAACACGTGTACACATACACGTGGAACACGTGTCCACACACACACGCCCACTGGGATGATATCTTTACGGGAATCATGACGCTCGTAGCGAGTTGAAATGGGTACGCCAGAGTCGTCACGGGAGTCGATCGGCAAAGTCGCGTTTGGTAGCGTAAAGCGTGGGCACCCCCCCTACCCCCTACCCCCGTGTCGGGCCGTCTGTTCCCCAGCGTGGAACAGACGGCCCGACACGACTCAGCACGAGCGGGGCCTCCCCTCTAAGCGGACGCCCTCCCGGCAGCAGTGAAGCGGGCGAGGAATCGCAGCGCTGCGAGTCGCAAATTGAGCTCCGGCACCACCGCGCTCCCTGTGAATAAATACAAAGGTGGGGGGGGGGGGCATGAGGGGCGGGTGTGGTACGAATCTGTGCCACAAGGGGCCGTGTTTTTTGTGGGTGGGAGATGTGGGGGGGCGGGGGAAGAGGTGGTGGTGGTGGGGGGGAGCCACCTGTGTTTACGCAGCGCGAGAAGAGAAGAGGGAGGCGTTTTTTTTAATGCGCATGAAAATACCTCTCGCTCTCATCTCTCCGCTCTCCGTTCGCTCGCTGGCATCGCGGCTCGCATCGTTCATGCTCACACCGCCACAGATCCGCGCGCGGTCCTCCCTGCGATGCACGCGCCACGAGCAGTGAGCGGGCCGACCACTCGCCACACATTCACACATTCACACGTGCACACCACGCACAGGCAGGGATCCACCATGTCCCCCCACACACCCATCCATCCCCCCGTGAAGCCTGTAACACACAAGCGGTGTTCGCGAAGGGGTGGGTGGCCATCGGCTTTGTCTCGTCAGTGCTGATGTTCTGCTACACACCCGGGTCCAGGTACTCATTTATGGCTGAGTAGTTCTAGGAGGGGCCCAGGACTGATTAAGATGCTGGGTTTGTTTTTGTGTCACTGGTGTTGGGCCTTGAGCGGGAATCGAAATCGGGTGACCGCTACCCCACACACAAACGTACTGACACACCATCAGCACCATCAGCATCATCATCATCAGCATCATCATCATCAGCACCATCAGCAGCATCATCATCAGCCGTTATCTGTCCACTGCTGCATACAAACCACGACACACCGACGTCATGCATACACACACAACACACACACGTGGGGTGTGTGTATACACTACTCGCTGTGTACACACACACTTGTGGGTTATATGTATACACTACTCGGTGTGTACACACACACACACACACCTGTGGGTTGTGTGTATACACTACTCGGTGTGTACACACACACACCTGTGGGCTGTGTGTATACACTACTCGGTGTGTACACACACACACACACCTGTGGGTTGTGTGTATACACTACTCGGTGTGTACACACACACACACACGTGTGGGTTGTGTGTATACACTACTCGCTGTGTACACACACACCTGTGGGTTGTATGTATATACTACTCGGTGTGTAGACACACACACACGTGGGCTGTGTGTATACATTAGTCGGTGTGTACACACACACACCTGTGGGTTGTATGTATACACTACTCGGTGTGTACACACACACACACCTGTGGGTTGTATGTATACACTACTCGGTGTGTACACACACACACACACACGTGGGCTGTGTGTATACACTAGTCGGTGTGTACACACACACCTGTGGGTTGTGTGTATACACTACTCGGTGTGTACACACACACACACCTGTGGGTTGTGTGTATACACTACTCGGTGTGTACACACACACACACGTGTGGGTTGTGTGTATACACTACTCGGTGTGTACACACACACACCTGTGGGTTGTGTGTATACACTACTCGGTGTGTACAGACACACACACACACGTGGGCTGTGTGTATACACTACTCGGTGTGTACACACACACACACCTGTGAGTTGTGTGTATACACTACTCGGTGTGTACACACACACGTGTGGGTTGTGTGTATACACTACTCGGTGTGTACACACACACACACCTGTGGGTTGTATGTATACACTACTCGGTGTGTACACACACACACACGTGGGCTGTGTGTATACACTACTCGGTGTGTACACACACACGTGTGGGTTGTGTGTATACACTACTCGGTGTGTACACACACACACACCTGTGGGTTGTATGTATACACTACTCGGTGTGTACACACACACACACGTGGGCTGTGTGTATACACTACTCGGTGTGTACACACACACACCTGTGGGTTGTGTGTATACACTACTCGCTGTGTACACACACACTTGTGGGTTATATGTATACACTACTCGGTGTGTACACACACACACCTGTGGGTTGTGTGTATACACTACTCGGTGTGTACACACACACACCTGTGGGCTGTGTGTATACACTACTCGGTGTGTACACACACACACACCTGTGGGCTGTGTGTATACACTACTCGGTGTGTACACACACACACACCTGTGGGTTGTGTGTATACACTACTCGCTGTGTACACACACACACACACACCTGTGGGTTGTGTGTATACACTACTCGCTGTGTACACACACACCTGTGGGTTGTGTGTATACACTACTCGGTGTGTACACACACACACACCTGTGGGCTGTGTGTATACACTACTCGGTGTGTACACACACACACACCTGTGGGCTGTATGTATACACTACTCGGTGTGTACACACACACACCTGTGGGTTGTGTGTATACACTACTCGGTGTGTACACACACACACACGTGTGGGTTGTGTGTATACACTACTCGGTGTGTACACACACACGCGCTATCATCATTCACACTCCCTCTAACAAAGACAAAGGCCCCCCGAATAGCCTTCACGGGTCATTGGGTCAAGTGCGAGCACCTTTCTAGACCGACACTCCACACAAGGTTGGTGGCGTTGGCAGCATCACAGCCGGCCGCATTTGTCTCCCCAGTGCTGACGCTTACACACCGGGTAGAGTACTCACTTGAGGCTGAGCCCACCTAGGGGAGGCCCAGGACGGGTTCAGATGTTCGTGACCGATATTGACCGTGAGCGGGAATCGAACTCGGGTTGCACATTGATACAAAGACAACCCCCCCCCCCCCGGTGTAGACTTAACAAACTGTTGGAGCAAGTGCTTTTAGCTAGCACCTATAAAGAGCTGCACATACACACAGCGCTCTAAACACAGCGCTATGAACACACACACAGGCGCTACACACACACAGCGCTATATACACACACATAGAGTTATTTAAACATACGCACCCAGCACTACGGGTTCATATAGTCGCCACTGATGTATCGCAATGTGCTAAGCATTAGGCTGCTGTACACCACACACATACAAACACACATACATACAAACACACACATACACACACAGAACAAAGACCCCCCGTATAGCCTTAACAGACTGTAGGGGCAAGTGCTGTTAGCGAGCACCTCCATACATACACACAAAAAGACAAAGATCCCCCGTATAGCCTTAACAGACTGTAGGGGCAAGTGCTGTTAGCGAGCACCTATGAAGACCAGAACGGTACACGAGGGGGTGGGTGGCCAGCACCACGCCCGACCGCCTTTGTCTCCCTAGTGGCGATATTTACACACCGCACCAGGTACTAATTTGAGGCTGAGTCGACCTAGGGGATGCCCGGGACCGGTTCAGGTAATCGTCACTGGTGTTGGCCGTCAGCGGGAATCGAACCCGGGTCGCCAGGTTCATAGCGCAGAGCGCTAACCGCTACACTACCGCTCCCCACACACACTTACACACACACATACACACACTTACACACACACATACACACACATACACATATACACACACATACATACACACATACACAACAACAACAACCGCCACACACACATACACACACACATACACACACATACACACATACACACACATACACACATACACACACATACACACACATACACACATTATACACACATATACACACATATACACACACATACACACATACATACACACACACATACACACATACACACACATACACACACATACACACACATACACACACACATACACACACATACACACACACATACACACACATACACACACACATACACACACATACACACACACATACACACACATACACACACACATACACACACATACACACACACATACACACACATACATACACACATACACACACATACACACACATACACACATGACAAAGATAAAGATCCCCCATATAGCCTTAACAGACTGTAGGGGCAAGTGCTGTTAGCGAGCACCTATGAAGGCCGGAACGGTACACGAGGGGGTGGGTGGCCAGCACCACGCCCGACCGCCTTTGTCTCCCTAGTGGCAATGTTTACACACCGCACCAGGTACTCATTTGAGGCTGAGTTGACCTAGGGGAGGCCCGGGACCGGTTCAGATAATCGTCACTGGTGTTGGCCGTGAGCGGGAATCGAACCCGGGTTGCCAGGTTCATAGCGCAGCGCGCTAACCGCTACACTATCGCTCCCCACAAACATACATACACACACATACACACACACATACACACACATACACACACACATACACACACATACATACACACATACACACACATACACACACATACATACACACATACACACACATACATACACACATACACACACATACATACACACATACATACACACACACACATACACACATATACACACATACACACACATACACACACACATACATACACACATACACACACATACATACACACATACATACACACACACACATACACACATATACACACATACACACACACACACATACACACATACACACACATACATACACACGCACTCTCGCGCGGTCCGCTCTGTCCCCCCCCCCCCTCCTCCCCCCCCCAGGTGAGTGTCTCTGCACCTGGGCACGCCTCGCCTGCGGCGCACGTGAACAATACGGGGGGCTCACGACCCCCCACACCTGCGCCGCTACCCCCTGGCCCGTGATTGGCATTGTTTGGGGGATTTAAGGAATTATGGGGGTGGAGGCGTGGGTGGGGTGGGGGGCTACACAGGTGTGAGACGCGCAGGGGGGGGGGGCTAGGGGGAGACTCGGCATTGCAAACACGCGGAGTTCACGAGATTCGTGTTAACTTTGTGTGTCGGTTGAGATTTGGGGAATCATCATCATCATCAGCGGCTTAAAGATTGTTCTCAACATCAGCAGCAGCATTGCCATCATCAGCATCATCACCAGCGTCATTCTCAACATCATTAGAAAGAACGTAATAAAATAATAATCATCAGCAGCAGCATTATCTCACCGACTCATAAGGAATTCCATCATCATCAGAAGGCTTTACATCATAATCCACATCAGCATGCCCTTTGTTATTGCAAAGCTGGGCGCATATAGAGAGCAGATGTTTGTTTGTTAAGAGAGGCTTGGACGGAGACTCAAGGTTCTGCCAATTACTTTTTCATCATTATCAACGTAAACATCATCAATTATCATAATCATTATCAATAACCATTATTATCAATGTGTCATCATCAACAACCGTCAATGATCATTGTCTCCATCATCAATCATTATCATCAATGATCATCAATGATATCTACCCCGAATGATTATACATCAAAATCAATCAATCAGTCATCCTCCCCCACAGCTCAACGCGATTTCATCCAAAGTCACCCCCCTCCCTTCCCTCTATCTGCCCCCCCCGCCTCCCACCCCTCCCCTCCCCACCCCTCCCCCCACCCCCCCCCCCGCTCCCACCCTCCCCCTCCCGCCCCGAACCTCGAGGGTAGCGGAGCGCGGCCCCGCTCCGCGAACCGGTCCCCGTGTCCCGAGGCAAGGACCGGCTGGAGCCGAGACACCTGGGGGATGTGGGGGGGGGGGGGTGGAGGGGGGTGAGAGGGGGTTGGGGAGGTGAAGGGGGGGTGAAGGGGGGTGGAGGGGGGGTGAAGGGGGGGTGGAGAGGGGGTGGAGGGGGGGGTCACACCCCCCCCCCCCTTCCACCCTGCCAGGTCTCCCGGATTGTAGGGGCGCATTGTGTCGTGTGAGGGCATGGCGTGCAGAGGGGATACCCACACACAATGACAAAGACAAAGGCCCCCTACCCCACCCACTCCACCCACCCCACCCACCCCACCTGGATGGCCTTAAACAGACTGTTGGGGCAAGTGCTGTTCGCGAGCAGCTATGAAGGCCGACACGGCACACGAGGGGTCGGTTGGCCAACACCACGCTCGGTCGCCTTTGTGTCTTTCCATGTTTTGCTACAGACCCCAGCGGGTCCTCATTGGAGTCGATCCAGCGGAGGCCGAGGGCACGGTTCCAATACTCGGGTTCGCCCGGGTTCGTAGTTCTGTGCGCTAACCAATGCACCACCGCTCCTCACACACAATATACACACAGTGTACACTGTCATAAATTATAGACTTAACGGATTTTTGGGGCAAGTGCTGCTAGCGAGCACCTATGAAGGCTGACATAACACACGAGGGGGTGGGTAGCCAACACCACGCCCGGCCGCCTTTGTCTCCCCAGTGGCGATCTTTACACGTCACACCAGGTACTCATTTCACGCTGAGTCAACCTAGGGGAGGCCCAGGACCGATTCAGATATAATCGTCACTGGTGTTGGCCGTGGGCGGGAATCGAACCCGGGTTTGTAGCGCAGCGCCCTAAATACTGCGCCACTGCTGCCCACGAACAGGCACACACATACATACACACACACAGACACACACATATACATACACACATACACACAGTACTACACACACACAGTACTACACACATACACACAGTACTACACACACACAGTACTACACACACAGTACTACACACACACATACACACAGTACTACACACACATACACACATACACACACATACACACACATACAAACAACAACAACCGCCATTCGCCACTAAGTGGCGGTGACGTCACCACGGCGCTTGTGCCAGGCTATGTGCACCCTGAGGCCACGTGAAGTGTCGAACGCCCGTTGGCAGGAGGTCACGGGGCAGACCCAAGTGCCACGGGTCGACTGACTGAGATGACTGGTTGATGCACCAGCTGTGCCCCCTACTGTGCCAACCTGCTGTGCTTTAGCCACCCGGCTCTCCGCTCGTTGTTGTGAGCGTCGCTCCTCCGCCCTCCGTTGTTGTTGGAGCGCGAATGCCTCCAACTGCCCAGTAGCGTCCTTCACAAGCCTCCTCCACAGAGGCCGATCTTGACACCGCTGGTACCAGTCATCGGCAAGTCCACTCAGCTCCACGTCCTCCTGTACCACATCACTCCATCTCTTCTCTAGCCCGTGCCACGCCCGTTTAGCCTCCTCGATCCGGCCGAACAAAAGCTGTTTCGGCATGCGGTGGCTGGGCATGCGGGCTACATGACCCAGCCATCGCAGCCTTGCCCGCCGGAGGAGCTCACCGATGGGACCTTGCCCAGATCTTTCAAGGATTTGTGAGCTCCTCACACAATCCAGTCTGGTTAAACCCAGGATGGATCGTAGGCAGGCCAGTCTAAATGTTTCTAACCGGCGAAGATGTTCCATTAGGGGTGTCCACGTTTCGCAAGCGTAGAGAAGGGAGAGAATGACCGTGGTCGAGAAGACCTGAAGCGTCGTGCGGAGCGACAGACCAGGTAGCTTCCACACAGCGTTACGCAACCGATGAAAATATCCCGCTCGACTAAATTGGAGCCGAAACGTGGACCCCCCCTAATGGAACATCTTCGCCGGTTAGAACCATTTAGGCTAGCCTGCCTACGATCCATACTGGGTTTAACCAGACTGGATTGTGTGAGGAGCTCACAAATCCTTGAAAGATCTGGGCAAGGTCCCATCGGTGAGCTCCTCCGGCAGGCAAGGCTGCGTTGGCTGGGTCATGTAGCCCGCATGCCTAGCCACCGCATGCCGAAACAGCTTTTGTTCGGCCGGATCGAGGAGGCTAAACGGGCGTGGCACGGGCTAGAGAAGAGATGGAGTGATGTGGTACAGGAGGACGTGGAGCTGAGTGGACTTGCCGATGACTGGTACCAGCGGTGTCAAGATCGGCCTTTGTGGAGGAGGCTCGTGAAGGATGCTACTGGTCAGTTGGAGGCAGTCGCCCTCCAACAACAACGGAGGGCGGAGGAGCGACGCTCACAACAACGAGCGGAGCGTCGGGTGGCTAAAGCACAGCAGGTTGACACAGTAGGGGGCACAGGTGGTGCATCAGCCAGTCATCTCAGTCATCTTAGTCAGTCGACCCGTGGCACTTGGGTCTGCCCCGTGACCTCCTGCCAGCGGGCGTTCGACACTTCACGCACAAGTACTACACACACACATTACTGCAGACACACAAAGTACTACACACACAGTACTACACACACACAGTACTACACAGACACACGCACAGTACTACACACACACACAGTACTACACACACACAGTACTACACACACACACGCACAGTACTACACACACACAGTACTACACACACGCACAGTACTACACACACACACAGTACTACACATACACAGTACTGCACATACACAGTACTACACACACACACAGTACTACACACACACAGTACTACACACACACAGTACTACACACACAGTACTACACACACAGTACTACACACACACAGTACTACACACACACAGTACTACACACACACAGTACTACACACACACAGTACTACACATACACAGTACTACACACACAGTACTACACACACACAGTACTACACACACAGTACTACACACACACACAGTACTACACACACACACAGTACTACACACACACAGTACTACACACACACAGTACTACACACACACAGTACTACACACACGCACAGGCACACGACGTGCGCTCTCTCCGGTCTCTGAACCCGCGCGGATTTTCGGAATGAATTCTCTCCAAAGGGAAAAACAAAATCTTGCCAACTCAAGCAGAACTCCCAGCCACGTGGGGGGAGGGCGGGGGTGGGGGCTACAGAGGGGGGAGCGGTAGGGGAGGGGTGAGGGGGGTCACAATTGGGCCTCTGGGGTGGGGAGGAGGGGTCACACGCCACCGTGACCCCGTGAAAGGTGAGGCTTAGGTCATGGCCAATAAATAAAGGTGAGTTTCACCCAACTCACCTGACGCTCACCTGAAACTCAAATTAGAACTCACCTGACTCACCTGCGGACTCGCCAGAGACTCGCCTGCATCACCCTGCACGTGCGTGCGGACGCGTGCGAGCGAGCGCATGTGCACGTGCATATACGCGTGTTGATCAATGAGGCGACAGCAGTGAAGGCTGTGTCGTGCGGTACGTGTTGTGTCTGTGTTGGGGAAGAGGTTTAGCGCCGTTCGTGGGGAGCGGTGGGGTAAGCGGTTAGCGCGCTGTGCTGCGATGTAAACCCTCGCTACCCGAGTTCGATTCCCCGCTCACGGCCAACACCAGTGGACGATTATCTGAACCGGTCCTGGGCCTCACCCGAGGTCGACTCAGCCTCAAGCGAGAGTACCTGTTGCGACGTCTAAAACATCGCCACTGGGGAGATAAAGGCGGCCGGGCGTGGTTGCTGGCCGCCCACCCCCTCGTGCGTCATGCCAGGATTTATAGGTGCTCGCTAACAGCCGCTTGCCCCGAGTCTGTTAAGGCTATACGGGGGCCCTATGGTTTTTCTTTGTTACTGTGTGTATCTATGTACGTGTGTGTATGTACGTGTGTGTATATCTACGTGTGTCTGTATCTATGTACGTGTGTGTGTATCTACGTGTGTATCTATGTACGTGTGTGTGTATCTACGTGTGTGTGTATCTATGTACGTGTGTGTATCTACGTGTGTTTGTATCTAAGTACGTGTGTGTGTATGTACGTGTGTGTATCTACAGTGAGGGAAAAAAGTATTTGATCCCCTGCTGATTTTGTACGTTTGCCCACTGACAAAGAAATGATCAGTCTATAATTTTAATGGTAGGTTTATTTGAACAGTGAGAGACAGAATAACAACAAAAAATCCTGAAAAACGCATGTCAAAAATGTTATACGTTGATTTGCATTTTAATGAGGGAAATAAGTATTTGACCCCTCTGCAAAACATGACTTAGTACTTGGTGGCAAAACCCTTGTTGGAAATCACAGAGGTCAGACGTTTCTTGTAGTTGGCCACCTGGTTTGCACACATCTCAGGAGGGATTTCGTCCCACTCCTCTTTGCAGATCTTCTCCAAGTCATTAAGGTTTCGAGGCTGACGTTTGGCAACTCGAACCTTCAGCTCCCTTCACAGATTTTCTATGGGATTAAGGTCTGGAGATTGGCTAGGCCACTCCAGGACCTTATTGTGCTTCTTCTTGAGCCACTCCTTTGTTGCCTTGGCCGTGTGTTTTGGGTCATTGTCATGCTGGAATACCCATCCACGACCCATTTTAAATGCCCTGGCTGAGGGAAGGAGGTTCTCACCCAAGATTTGACGGTACATGGCCCCGTCCATCGTCCCTTTGATGCGATGAGATTGTCCTGTCCCCTTAGCAGAAAAACACCCCCAAAGCATAATGTTTCCACCTCCATGATTGACGGTGGGGATGGTGTTCTTGGGGTCATAGGCAGCATTCCTCCTCCTCCAAACACGGCGAGTTGAGTTGATGCCAAAGAGCTCCATTTTGGTCTCATCTGACCACAACACTTTCACCCAGTTGTCCTCTGAATCATTCGGATGTTCATTGGCAAACTTTTAGACGGGCATGTATATATGCTTTCTTGTGCAGGGGGACCTTGTGGGCGCTGCAGGATTTCAGCCCTTCACGGCGTAGTGTGTTACCAATTGTTTTCTTGGTGACTATGGTCCCAGCTGCCTTGAGATCATTGACAAGATCCTCCCGTGTAATTTTGGGC